CCATGATTGGTGTCGCAACACTCTTTTCAATCACTTTGTCAATCTCCAGCTGTTCATCTCTTGGTGATATTTCAGGTGCCTCTTGGCTTTGGTGAGACGGTATAATCCCCTGTCAGGACCTCTCTCTGGAGGGAGTCACCCTGAGCCATATGAGGTTCGCCACAGACCCATGGATCAGGACTCCACACTCAATTCACTCACTCAAATACAGTCACACATGTTCATTCACCACCCAAGAATTACCAAAATCCTGACCAGAGAATGTGGTTTCCTGTGTTCGACAGAGTGCTAAGTAAGACATTCTCCCCTTCAGGAGTTGATCAAGCTCCCCTTCTACTCTCCTGGGAGTAGGAATCTACGGGGACCCAGGTCTTTATCTTGTCAGTCAGGTGGGGCTCTCCGTCTGGTTCCTGTGCCTCTTTGGGTCCCACTGAGCTCAGGGTCTGACCCCTGTGTCTACCAGGTGAGGTCTTTCCCACTCTTCATTGGCACCCATGTGCAGTACACATTGACGAGTGTCCCAGGGGCCAAGACCCAGAGACAAGGGAGGTGGTCAAGCCACCATCTCTGCCATCCCAGACGAGCCCCCAGAAATGCTACAGCATGTTATGGTGAACTTGCAAGGAGTGGCAGGACACCAAGGCTTGAAGCAGGAAGCAGACTTTATTGATGCTGGCACCAGCTCAGCAAACTCATATCACAAAGGCTGAGCTCCCAGCACTGCAGGGATGTTTCTTTTATATAGTTCAGTTTCCTGGTTTGGGGAGATAATGAATGTCTTCTTATTAGGGCAAGCATGAGGTATTCAGTAAGCAGGGGTGGGGACTTTACATGTTGCAAGCCTGTCTTTGGATTACATCAGCTAGTTTCCTAGTCACACAAAAAATGGGAGGTTTTGTTTTTCTGCCTCAATTTAATTCTTAAAAAATAAGAACTTTTTATATTCAGTAAGCAGGGGTGGGGACTTTACATGTTGCAAGCCTGTCTTTGGATTACATCAGCTGGTTTCCTAGTCACACAAAAAATGGGAGGTTTTGTTTTTCTGCCTCAATTTAATTCTTAAAAAATAAGAACTTTTTAAAAAAGTAACCACAATACAATAAAATGTATTACTTATTGTTGGTGGCAGTCAAAAAAGTTTATAAGAATTACAAGTTCCTAGGTAGAGAGGCCACCTTATTTGTCTCAGCATTTTCAGGGTCTGGCCCTCAATAAGTGCTGAGAAATGGAGGGAAGAAGAGCAGGAAAGAAAAGGTAGAAGGCAGAAAGGTTGTAAAGGGGAGAGAAAAGAAAAACAGTTTCATCCCTTTGCTTTGAATCATCCTGGAAGTACTTTTTCAGGGTCTGGCCCTCAATAAGTGCTGAGAAATGGAGGGAAGAAGAGCAGGAAAGAAAAGGATAGAAGGCAGAAAGGTTGTAAAGGGGAGAGAAAAGAAAAACAGTTTCATCCCTTTGCTTTGAATCATCCTGGAAGTACTTCTGGTGAATTTCCCAAAAGGAAAGAAACAAAGTACCCACTAGTTAAGGTTCCTCATCCTTAATTAATTACCAAATAATTAAGGTTTCTGTATTTGTTGTTTTCCCTCTGGTTTGGGATGCCACATATGATTGTGCAAGTTGTTGACTGCATAAAGGCATGTGGCTGTGGCTGCAAGGGCACCTTTTCCTAAAAGACACAAAAGTGCTCTGTGGGCTAACAGTGGCCCTGTTTTCCCTCTCCACTCTACCATCTTATATATAATTACCTTGGTCCACTTTTCTCCCTCTGCTGTCTTCCTCCTCCTCCACAGTCTATGGAGGCCATAGGCAGGAGGTCCTCCATAAAGCTGAGCCCCGTTTAGGTGTGTTCTCAGTAATAATCATGAAAGGCCATCTTTATATAGAATGACTTTGGTATCAGGAGCAGGATCTCTCTCTTAGGAAAAGTCTGAGTTCTGGGGCTAGCTCTGACATTTGCTAGTCATAGGACTTTTAGATAATATTCCTGAAGCCAAATTTCCTTATTTGTAAGTAGGAATAATAATAGCTCCTCCATCTCTTTCTGAGAACCCTTGTGAGGACCAAAGGAAGGAAATGCTTTGGCAATGATAAAGTAGCATACAGACGTAAAGGATATTTCAGTCATGATTTACGGTTATGTCCACAATGGAAGTTCTTAAATTTCATTGCTGTCTGATGGATTTGGAATTATCCTTCTCCTAAAAATTTTTCATTATAATTCTTTAAAAGTAAAAGTTCACAAATAATTGGAAAATATGTTTTATATACTATTTATAATAGCAAAACATCAAATGCCAAGAAGCATATTTAAGACAGGCAAGACTTTTAACTGAAAACTACCTAAATAAGCAGTGATATATACCATGCTCATAAATTAAAAGATTCAACTTTGTTAAAATGTCAATCCTCTCCCAAACTGATTATAATGGCTAATTTTATGTGTCAACTTGTCTATGTCACAGGGTACCTAGATATTTGGTCAAGCATTATTCTGGATGTGTCTATGAGGATGTTTTGGATAAGATTAACATTTGAATTAGTAGACTAAGTACAACAGATTGCCCTCCCTAACGTGAGAGAGTATTACCCAATCAGTTGAAGGCCTGAACAGGACAAAACATCTGAGCCTCCCATGAAGAAGTTAGTTCTTCCTGCCTGACTACCTTGACCTGGAGCATTGGTTTTATCCTGCCTCCAGACTTACACTGAAACATCAGTTCTTCTTGGGTCTTCAGAGTGCTGGCATTTGGACTAGAACTACACCATCAGCTCTCCTGGTTCTCAAGCCTTCAAAGTCAGACTGGAACTGCACCATTGGCTTTCCTGGGTCTCCAAATTGCCAACTGCAGATCTTGGAATTTGTGAGCTTCCATAATTCCATGAGTCAATTTTTAAGTGTCTGTGTATATATGTGTGTGTTTCTGTTGTTTCTGTTTCTCTGGAGAACACTGACTAATAATTTGACCTATAGCTTCAATGCACTTTCAATACAAACCCCAGTAGCTTTTTTGTAGAAATTAACAAGCTGACTCTAAATGTATAAGGAAATACAGAGGGCCTAGCATAACGAAGGCAATATTAAAAGGGAAGAACAAATTTAAACAACTTAAAATACAGAGGGCCTAGCATAACGAAGGCAATATTAAAAGGGAAGAACAAATTTAAACAACTTACTTTACCAGACTTATTGTAATCCAGGCAATGTGTTATTGGTGGAATGTATAAGGAAATACAGAGGGCCTAGCATAACGAAGGCAATATTAAAAGGGAAGAACAAAGTTAAACAACTTACTGTACCAGACTTATTGTAATCCAGGCAATGTGTTATTGATGTTCAAGGCAATGTGTTATTGGTGGGAGGACAGACAAAATAGATCAATGAAAGAGAACAGAATACAGAAACAGGCCCACACATATACAGACAACTTTTTACAGTGGTACTGAAATGCATTTCAGTGGGGAAAAGAAAGTCTTCTTAATAAATGTTTCTGAAGTATCTGGATACCTATACAGAAAAATAAATAAACAAACACTGACTTTTATCTCACTCGAAAAGAAAGTCTTCTTAATAAATGTTTCTGAAGTATCTGGATACCTATACAGAAAAATAAACAAACACTGACTTTTATCTCACTGTACCCATAAAGTTAATTTGAAGTGAATACCACACCTATATGTGAAAGTTCAAACAATAAAGCCTCTAGAAGAAAATGTAGAAGAATATTTTCATAGCCTCGTCAGACACAAAGATTTCTCAGTCAGGACACAAAACATACTAACAATAAAAGAAGCAAGATGGATAAGTAGAACTTTATCACATCTAAAGTGCAAGTAATTTGAAAGTGGCTCTGAAAACTAATTTTAGTTTTCAGTATGAGATAGACTGAAGATCCAGGCCTGGAAACAACTGTCCCAAAATAAACACATGTACTGCAAGATTTTTCAGGGCCTCACACACAAGGGCAGCAGCCTCATATTACACAAGCATGGTAGAACAAGGTTAGAACACATTTAAGAGAACAATATAAAGTCTTTGTCACTAGGAGATCAGAGTATCACTAGGAAAGAAGACTTACTCAGAACACAGTGCTACTAAACTGTATGATTCTGACATGAATTCAAAAGTAGCTCAGGCAAGGGAGAGGGGCAAGCTGTTTGGAGTAGACACACTGAGGGTATGAAATGGAAGAGAATTCACAAAGCATCTGGTCTAACTCTCCTCATCCCACTTTTACAGACAAGAAAACTGAGGACCTCCAGCAGACAAAGCCACATTATTGGTTTGTGACAGAGCCAAAGTAGAATCCAGAGTTCCTGCCTCCTCTCAAATTCTCCTTCTATCTTTGTGTCCTGCTTCTAACTTCAGTATCTGGCCAAGCTTCTCAGAAGATGTTGGGGACTCACACTGGCCCTGAAAGTATGAGTACTTCAAAAATTATATGTGAAACTCCTGTACGTTGTCTAGCTTACAACAGGTGCTCAGTAAAGAATGCTATTATTAAGTTAGATTGTACTTCCCAGATGATCAGTGACAAGGCAGAAGGCTTCACAGGCCACATCTGAATAGCAAAACTCATTTTACACCAGCATTATTCCCACACCTGCCTAGAACCCCACTCCACCAAGTACCACCCTCCAAAGAAAGCCAGTGGGGCTCCGGCCCCTCTCTAACCCACAGGGCATGAGGGTTGAAGAAGGAAGCATTCATCCTTTCTGCTGATATGCCCAGAGTCTAGACTCTACCCAAAAATCAGGAACAGACACACCACAGAACTTTCCTCAGCCTGAATCCTAGGCAAAAATCCTAGGTAATTGGCACAGATAGGAGCTGGCAAGATGGTGAAAGAGAGAAGCTGTTTAGGGGGAAAAAGAGCTGGAATGAGGGAACAGCCAAATCCCACAGAGCATGAGGCCACATAAGCAAGGGCAAATCCTTGGCAATTTCCAGACATAGTTACTGCATTCGCTTCTCCTCGGCCCCCGCAGATAACGGCACTTACCTTCCACGTGCCCCGCACTGTAGATCTTCATGCCGTTACACACACTCTTGTAGCAGCATCACAGGTAGATTTCTACTAGTTCATCCGCCCAGCCAAAAATACTTCTGGAGTGCTCTGATGTTCAGGCCAGGTCCTGGGTAAAGAGGATATGGGGTGGTCACTGGAGGTGTCTGCCTCCAGAGGGAAGAGGAAATCACAGCTGCAGAGTGGGTAACCATGCGGAGGGTCCAGCACCCAGTCTGGATGGTTTGGGAAGTCTGCCTGGGGAGGCACATCTCAACTCAGTCATGAAGATGACGAGGAGGTGGATAGAGAAGAGGAAAAGGAACGGGTGAGCTGTGTGGGCCTCTTTGGTCATTTCTTTGCATTTCCTAAAGAATGTTTTACTCTTACCATTTAGACAATTTTGATCAGTGATGCTGGGCATAAAGAAACACTTGACACCTTCCATAGACAGGTTCCTTTTGACACCAAGTGTGAGGGGGAGTCACTAAATTAATAACTATATAAAGTATCACCCTCTCTCTGTGAAAAAGTGCACTCATAAACCTCAGAAAAGATTTGTTAAAAGCTCCGACGCATAAAAACGTTGATTTGCTTCCCATCTGTTTCATGATGTCCCCAAATCTACAATGTAGACTTAAAATATACCATAACAACAAATATGGTCAAAATCTAAGAGCTAATTGCATCAAAACTGCAGTTTAGACCAATCTAAGTGGAAAAAAGCTCTCCCTTTTGTAGAGTAGAAAATAAAACTAAAAAACCACTTTCTTTTCATTACATTTATAAAGGGCCCTTTATGTGCAGGGTACCGCACCCCATGCTGTTTGCACATTATCTCACACACACACACCCCACCCCTGACACCTCTGTGAGCCAGGTGCTATGATCCCACTTTACCATGAGAAAGGTCAGTAATTTGCCCAAAGCAGGCCTCTAGAAACTGTTGGAAGTAAGATTCAAACCCACATTTATATCATTTAATGAGTACTAATTACACACCAGCACTGTTCTCAGCACTTTTCAAGTATCAACAGAGTTAATCCTCACAGCAATATCATAAAGGAGACACCACTGTCATCCCCATTTTAGATTAAGAAATGAAGCAAAGACAGATTAATTTGTCCACTATCACACATCTGATTCCAAAGTTTGTGACAGATCCATGTGCAATTGTGGGAAGGGAAGGGAATGTGCAGGGCACCCTCTCCTTGGGCTGTAGACAATTCAGAGTGGGGTTCTGCCCTGCTTCTGTGCTCCTATGGAGGTCAAGTCTGGACTCAGAGAAGCACTGTGGCCAGCTGGAAGGTTGCGGGTCTTTGGATTTGTCCCTCACCATAAGTCTGCAAAGAAAAACTGTTTAACCAGCCTTTGTCCAGGGAAGGAAGCCCTTTGCTGACTGTAGCCGCTGGTGTCATTCCTGTTGGTTATGTAAGTGGGGTTCCAGGAGGCAAGTGGGAAAGTGCACACAAATGCTTGACACAGTTTACCTTAGATGACTGTAGCAAAGCTTTTTCTTTGAGCCAAAATTTTTTTTTTTTTTAAAGATGACCGGTAAGGGGATCTTAACCCTTGGCTTGGTGTTGTCAGCACCATGCTCAGCCAGTGAGCAAACCAGCCATCCCTGTATGGGATCCGAACCCAGGGCCTTGGTGTTATCAGCACCACACTCTCCCAAGTGAGCCACGGGCCGGCCCTCTTTGAGCCAAATTTAACAGTGAGAGTTGTATACCAACTTCAGTGACACTAATGTTAATAAGTTCTGATGACCCATTACCATCAGACCAGCCAGCCATGGTGATTTGTGGCAAAACTGGTGTGCCCACATACCAGTTGTGGTGGGACGATGGAAGCAATCCCTCAAGAAACCAGACGCAGCCCCTCAGAACAGCCAACACATAATGTGTGCAGCTTTCTAGCCGAGAAATTAAAAGGCTGGGATATTTATTATAAAGATATAGTTCAAAAATTGAAGAGAAACATGAGCATGTGGTTTCATGCTATTGCATTAAATTTAATGTGAAGACATTCTGAAACAACCTAAATACTTACCCACAGAAACACTCAAATTATGATACTGAATTCCGTGATATCCTATGAAGCCATCCACATACTACAAGTACTATAAAGATGGGAAACAAAATTTTATGATAGGGCAAAAACAAAATAAACTTTTCAACAGCACTAAAATTACATTAAAAACTTGTTTCATACATGAACAATGACTGCAAGGCAACATTGTAAAGTGAGCGCTGATGTTGGAGTGAGCAGGACTGAAGCCATGTTGGGACCTAATACTGCCTGAGCTGTGGAGAGGGGTAGGATTTTTAAAAGGACAGTTTTTTTTCTCTCCACTCTCTTTCCCATCCCCTGACTTTCTTATCTCACTCGCTAAGTAGGAAAACAAGGCTGAGAAGCTCATTACTTCTTTGCAAAGCTAATAGTTCTTTCTTTGAGACTTGTAGAGTTTTGAGAAATGATCAAGACCAAATGACTGAAGCTGACTTTAGGCACAAATCAAAATCTTGCAAGGTCCTGAGATAACAGCGAAAATGAGAACAGAAACCAGATGAGGCCTTGGCAAGACCTTGCATCTGACCCATAGACATCTGACCCATCTCCTGCTCTCCTGCTTTTCACCTCCCACATTCCATTCCCTCAACCCTTCCTTTAAAAACTCCTCAGTAAATGCAAACCTTTGAGATGGGATAGCCTACCATCTCCTTCAGCTGAATACATCTGCTTTTCTAACACCAACCATCCAACTTCTGAGGAGGTTTGTTTTTTCCTTCTTAAGGGGGCGGGCAGCCGGGTAAAACTGATGTATAAGGATGCCAGAATGGTTAGAGTATATCTAACTGCTGTTGCAATGTTTGTGAATAAAACAGGAAAAACAAACTTGGCCTGCAAGTTGGTTGTCTGCAGAGCAGGCACATGGCTCTCCCAATCCACTTCTCCCCCACTAGAATATGGCAGACTTCCTTGAAAAGGGTAGATCAGGGCTTACCCTGTTGGGTCTCCCACCTTGGGAAAGCAAACACATTTATTCACCTCCAGCAACTGCCTGGCCCTGGCATAGCTGAGCTCTTTCTTTTCTTTTTTTTAAAAAAGATGACCGGTAAGGGGATCTTAACCCTTGACTCGGTGTTATCAGCACCACACTCTCGCAAGTAAGCCATAGGCCGGCCCATAGCTGAGCTCTTTCTATGCATAATAACCTAAAGGTCACATAGGTTCTAAAAGGAAAGTGGTGTTAATGGCCCCACGTCCCTTGAGAGAGGCTCTGTGCCTAGTGAAAGGACTCCCTTAACTTTAGCATAGGCCCTTGAAGAAAATGGCTCCCTATATTCCCTATGATCTGTCAGCTAGCACCTCAGGAGCAAGTTTAACAATGATCTGGAAATTAGCTACCCCTGCTTTGCCTGGCCCCCTTCTCCATGGCACACAATAGTATCAACACCAGTAGCAGCTCGACCCTCAGGGGTGTATCATAGCATCAAGGCCACTGGTCATTTCCACCTATTCAATTCTCCCCATTCTTCCTTCCTCAAGGGGCTGGCAGTCTGCCAGTGGGAAGAGCAGGTCAGACCCAGGGCAGAATGCAGCTCTGTCACTTTCCAGCTTTGTAACCCCAGGCAAGTTACCTAACCTCTCAGCAAGGAGGTAGTATTATAATAAACTCTTCACATGATTGTTGAAATATGTGAAATAATACATGGAAAATTCTTAGAACTTTGCCACATGCATGGCTAATCCAAATCAAGATATGCTGTAAGTGTAAAAATACACACCAGAATCTGAAGATTTCATATGGAATAAAAGAATGTAATAAGTCTGATTGATATTTTTTTACATTGAGTATGTGATAAAGTAATGATATTTGGGATATATTGGATTAAATAAAATATATTATTAAAATTCTTTTCATCTGTTTCTTTTTACTTGTTTAACAGAGCTATTTCAAATTTGAAAGTTACATATGTGGCCTGCATTTGTGGCTTGCTTTCCATCAGACAGCACTGGCTTAGAAGATATAAACAGCTTAATTTAGTTCTTCCTCTGCTTCTCCCTCCTCATTCACTGTCCACATGCACTGCTCAGCATTGTTGGCATTGTCTCAAGTCACATCATATCGTTCAGAATCACACCTGCAGTTCTGAATGAGTCCTTTCTCCTTTCCAGGCCCCAGTACCATCCTGGGACAGATGACGAAGGGTAGAAAGGACATCAGATTTAGAATCAGAAGACGGGGCTCCAGTCCTGGTTCTACCACTACTTGCTGGGTGACCTTTGGCAAGTCATTCTACTCCTCTAAGCCACAGTTTTGTCATCTGCAAAACAGGGGGTAACGATACCCTGTTCATGGCATGAGAGAAAACGTGGTAGTGCTTGATAAACTGCAGAGTACTGTCAAGGTCAGGACTAGGTGGTGTCATTTGTACAGTGGGGAGGTTGGGCAGTCTTGCCTGCCTCCTCTGATATTCTATGCCTTCCATTTTGTATTGTTATTTAACTATTTTTCATGTCTCATGTCTCTAAAAACAAGTTTCCCCAAGAAAGCCTCCGCCTTCCCACCTCTCCTCCCCCAACACAGCCAACGCCCAATCCTGCAGGCAGACCCCCTTGAAACAGCACACAGACCAAATGTGCTGTGTGAGGAAGGCATTCAGGGGCTCAAGGTGGAGATGGCCTCCCAGACCAACAGACAATACAATGTAGAAAATGCTTTTGATGGAGAAATCAAGCATACCAGGGACCGAGCGGAGAGGGGTGAGGTATGGGGGGCATGTATGAAATGGCCAACAGGAAGGACTCTTGAGTGCAAACATTTACAAAACAGATGGGTATAGAGGTACAAGCAAATATGGAATTCCATCACTTTTAATGCAGAGTAACAACAGTGTACAATGTACAGTGGGCCACCTACGATTGCTGAATGACCTCATGAGAGGTCCCTGGTTGGCAGGTCCTTTTTGCAGATGGAGCTCCATTGCCTTCCTGCCTTTGCTACTTCAGGTCCTCCCAGCTCACCCCACTGCCCACTCAGAGATAGATGTGTGCAGCAAGCTCTTAGGAACTTAAGTACCACCTGTGGCAACTGCGAAAACCTCAGCTATTTGGGGAGGCTTG